AAGATTTCTTATATAATAGCTAAGAGTGGATGCATGGTGGCGTAATGGATAGCGGCTCGGATTGAGGAAACGGAGATCCGAGTTCGAATTCTAATCGGATTCATTACATTCACTTACATGCTAATCTTCTTATGAGACTGGGTTCTATAGCCTTGGGTGGCAACTAGTCTAGGAGAAAGTAACTCTGAATTCAAAAACACAAATCCCTGGCGTAGCACATAATATAAATCTAAAAAAAGGGTCATTTTCATTGGCTCGATGATCCTGACGGAGGTCGACCCGGTTGGTTGCTAAAAGTTGAGCAAAAAATGAAAAAACTTATTTTGGACACAGAAAGTTTGGCGTATTTAGAGAAGAGGATCTATAATGAGAATTTCTGTACCCTGAAGGAAATATCCTTGCTCGGATCAATTGGAAAATCCGGAATTATGGAGATAATGAATGGATTTTTGAAGAGCATGCTTTAACAGCAAAGTCCCCAACACGCTATTGAGGGAACAGATGATTTGCCCTTGTACAAATTGTCTAGGAAAGCAAGTGACAGTGTGAAACACATTGTCCGTAGCTGCACTCGGCTGGCACGAAAAGAATAGAGACAGTGCCATGATATCCCTTAGAATACAATGGACAATATGCAAGAAGTGTGCCGTTGGGGGCGAAGAGAAATGGTACAAGCATTCATCACTATCAGTATTCGAGAATGATCTAGTGAAGCTCATCTGGGATATGATCATTTTGACTGACAAGCGCTTGGGAAGCAATCGCCCTGATATCACACTTGTGTACAAGAATAACCATGATCGGAGCCTGATAGACGTTTCGGTAACTTTAGAGAAAAAGTGGATGAAGTTATTATATTATATATAGAAAACACAAATATAATAACTACATCCACTTGTAAAAAAGATTAAAAATAATGGAAGCTTTAATAAAAAATACAGATATAAACATACAGATATAAACATATGTGGACAGTATGAGATTTGACATATGTATGTATATGTGTGGTGTTGCGTCTATACATACGCATTTGTATGTTGAAATTCAAAGATTGGAAGTGTAGCGAAAATTTCTCGTGAATGACTCGTGAATGTATACATGCCAAAAATCAGAGCAATTTTCTATTTTTTCACTGAGTAAAATTTCCTCGCATGTATGTATATATGTGTGGTGGGGGTCTGTGTAAAATTATGATAGGTAAAAATTATTATTATTTTTATTTTTAATTAAAAAAAAGGGTTTATTTGTTATTATTTCAAAGCTGGTTATTTGCTTGTTTTTGATGACTGTGTATATATAACTGGTAGAAATTTCGGTTTGTAATCCTTATTGGTTATTTTTTATGGTGGTATTAAATATGCTGGGGGAGGGGGTAGTTTACGTAAATAATTATGACGGGTTTATATGATAATAGTAGATGTGATGTGATAGTAATGTGTAAGGGGGTTGGTGACAATGATAATATAAGTGGCTAATAGTTATTGTAAATTGGTAGAAGTGATTAGTAATGTTGGTGGGAGAATAATAAAAACCTATAAATGTAATTATTGTGGTGCTAGCTTGAACTAAAGAGTGGTTTTGGTGTTTTATTTTATTTTATTTTCTATATTTATTTATTTGTTTATTTTGGTATAAATCCTGGTAATAGGATATATATATATATAAATCCTCGTAATAGTGTATATATATATATATATATATATATATATACAGTATAACCCGGATATAAGAGACCCGGGTATAAGAGAAACCCGGATATAAGAGAGATTTTCTCTGGTCCCAAATTAGAGCCTGTGTTAATGTATATAAAATAGACCAAACCCGGATATAAGAGAAACCCGGATATAAGAGACTTCTTCTCCGGATATCGTTGCGGTTACGGTAACAAGCCAGTTTTTTTTTTTAAAATGAGTAGGCGGTTACCGTATTGCAAATCCTCCAATCTGGAAGATCGGTTTTGAATTCAGAGTTGTCCTTCTCCTAGACCAGTTGCCACCCAAGGCTATAGAACCCGGTTTTCGTAATATTTACCCATAGCTGGAAGCGAGTGGGGGGTGAAATAGGATTCATACCATTCCCAAGGGTATTGGCACGTAAGTGAATATCAGTCAGTTATGTGCCATGCGTGATACACGCTTAGGCAGATTTTTTTTCCCGCTGTAGGTTGCCATTTCTTTCTGCGGTAGACCAGTTGCCACCCAAGGCTATAGAACCCGGTCTGCCTTGATATTTACCCATACCTGGGGAGGGGGCGGAGAAGAAGAGATTTCATATCTTTGCCAAAGGTATTAGCACGTGAGTATCAATTCAGTTTTGTGCTATGCGTGATACACACTTAGGCGATCATGTATCTTTCGATACGTGACTGACGAGGCAGATTTTTCCCGCAGGAGGTTGCCATTGAGTTCTTATAGGAAGCGTGAGGGAGGAAATAAGAGGAACATATGTCAATAGGTCGGGCGGCTACCCATCCTCTCCCTGCTGAAACCAGTCAGTCACTTATGTGCCATACATGATACACGTGTAGGCGATCACGTATCTTTCGATACATGACTGACGAGGTAGATTTTTTCCCGCAGTAGGTTGCCATTTCTTTCTGCGGTAGACCAGTTACCATCCAAGTCTGCCCTGATATTTACCCATAGGTAGGCGGGAGATGAAGAGGATTCACACCTTTCCCAAGGGTATTAGCACATAAGTGAGCGCAATGGATTCGACTGGAATTCGAACTCGGCTCTTTGATTCCTTAATCCGAGACGCTAATTGCGAATTTTTCAGGAATGCAGGACCCAAAGTGGGACAGCAAAAAATACCTGCTCAGAGCTACAAAGGATAGGAAGTTGTGGAGATCCATGATCACCCAAATCCGGGTAGGAAGAAAATGAATGCTGGACTATTGAAGACATCCGTTGTCAATCATGCAGCTGCTACTACTACAACTATTCTTCTTCTTCTCGAGCTACACAATCATGGCTCTCCACAACTTCCTATTTTTTGTTTCTCTAATTAACTTTTAAACATTTACCATCATTCTTTTCCCGTGTTTTGCCATCTATTCCCTTCCGCAACTTGTTTATGCTCAGTATTCCTTCCTGGAGTGGACGATCATGACTCTCCACGACTTCCTGCTTCTTGTTGCTCTAAGTAACTTTTGAAGCTTTAACCTCTTTCTTTGTCCTGGTTTTTCCATCCATTCACTCAAGTTCTTGTTTATGTGCCATATTCTTTCAGGATGTTGACGATCATGGCCCTCCACAACTTCCTATTTTTTGTTTCTCTAGGTAACTTTTATACATTTACTACCCTTCTTTTCCTGCGTTCTGCCATCTATTCCCTACCACATCTTCATTATGCGCCGTTTCCCTTTATGAAGTGGACGATCATGACTCTCCACGACTTCCTGCGTATTGTTGCTCCATAGTAACTTTTGAGGCTTTACCTTCTTCTTTGTCCTTGTCCTGCCATCCATTCACTTCTGCTTCTTGTTTCTGTTCCATATTCCTTCAGGATGTGAACAATCATGGCTCTCCACAGCTTCCTATTTTTTCTCTAATTAATGTTTGAACCTTTACTCTCATTTTTTGTCTTTGTTTTACCATCCATATACATCAACCAGTGAAATACTTTATTCGATATTTCTTCCTGATTCTGTTGCCATCAATACACCCTGTGAGTGTTAATTCACCAGACCCTCTTACCTCATTACATATGTCCCAGAATTTCAAGATGTCTATTTTAGATGATAAATATCACTTTCCTTATATTTCTTATTTTCCTGGTTGTTAAAATATTCTGTTCATGGTATGCTTAGCATTTGTCGGGAGAAATACATCCAGGCAGTTACTAACGATGATGATGATGAGGAGGAAAATGTCTGTCCCCTGGAGAAATCTTTGAGAGAGAGAGAGAGAGAGTGTGTGTGTGTGTGTGTGTGTGTGTGTGTGTGGGTGAGAGTGTGTGTGTGGGTGAGAGAGAGTATATCTATCGTTTCTCTTTGTCGGTTAGTTTATAAAAAAATTTCCCATCGTGCTTTTAAAACTAAAATTTCATCTACGCTAGTTTAGTCCCCCGGGTTTTTCTTTTATCCAGTATACTTTTTGTTAATTTCGCATTTCAGTTTCGCATTAACAATTCAATCGTTTTCATTTTCTCTATATATTCTTCTTGTATTTCTTCTTCTTCTTCTTCTTCTTCTTCTTCTTCTTCTTCTTCTTCTTCCAGTTCTTCTCCTCCTCCTCCTTTCTGTATTTCCCTTCCTCATCATGATTCTTTTGTTTGTTTTGATTTTCTCTGTATCTTCTTTTTCTTCTTCTTCTTCTTTCTCCTCCTCCTCCTACTCTTCCACCTTCTTGTATTTATCCTCCTCCTCCTCCTCTTGGCTTTCTCCTCCTCCTTCTTGGATTTCTCCTCCCCTTCGCCTCCTTGTATGTGTCCTTCTCCTCATCCTTCTTCTGTTCCTTTTGATTTTCTCTGTATCTTCTTTTCTTCTTCTTCTTCTTTTTCTCCTCCTCCTCCTCCTCTCTTCCACCTTCTTGTATTTTCCTCCTCCTCCTCCTCTTGTTCTTTTTCCTCCTTTGTGTTTTTGGTTCTCCTCCCCTTCGCCTCCTTGTATGTGTCCTTCTCCTCATCCTTCTTCTGTTCCTTTTGATTTTCTCTATATTTTCTTCTTGTGCTTCTCCTTCCCTCATCTTTCTTCTTTTTGTATTTTCTCCTCCCATTTCTTTTAATATTTTCTATCTGTGGATGACTACATATGTGTGTGTGTGTGTGTGCGTCTCTGTCCATCGCATATGCATTTGATTGGAATAACACTTCAATTTATCAATTGCTATCTATCTATCTATCTATCTATCTATCTATCTATCTATCTAAATTGATCAATCTTAGTCTGTTCATATCTATCTATCTATCTATCTATCTATCTATCTATCTATCTATCTATCTATCTATCTGACTACATATGTGTGTGTGTGTGTGTGTGTGTTCTCTGTCCATCGCATATGCATTTGATTGGAATAACACTTCAATTTATCAGTTGCTATCTATCTATCTATCTATCTATCTATCTATCTATCTTAGTCTGTTCATATCTATCTATCTCTCTATTACTCTATCTATCTAGCTATCTTAGTTTGTTCCTATCTATCTATCTATTTATCTATCTATCTATCTATCTATCTATCTATCTATCTATCTATCTATCTATCTATCTACATTGATCTATCTTATCTGTTCATATCTATCTATCTATCTATCTATGCATTACCTCGTTCATCTCTTGTTTCCTCCATTTTTGCTTACTTTTCCCGGCGCACTCTTTGTCAATAAGAATCTGCACTTATTTGTCTTTTCCTCTCTTCACCTTCTCCCTTCCCCTTTAAAACTTCCCGCCATTGTTTTTCCTTTTTGTGCCTTCCATCATTTTTTTCCTCGATCTTTCAATCTTTCTCGTTTCTTCTGCACTTTGTCAACAATGACATGACTTTTGTCCATTCATCGCCTTTCATTCTTCCACTGAATTCATGTCTTTGTAGAAATTTTTGTCTTACTTTTCGGTCGTTTTTAGAATTTGATATATTTCTTCTGAGAATATGTACCTAAATGGTTTTCCCCGCCTTTGTCTTCGATATTCCTTGATTTGTACGCTTTTTACGATTTATTATTTATTAGTTCTTTGTTCATTTTATTAAATTCTTTTACTTCCTCTTTTCTTTTTTGTTTTTCAGTTGCGTTTTTTTCTTCTGTTTTTACCTGTTTTTCATTCTTTCTCTTTCATCATCACTTTTCTGTTTCCTTTCTTAAGATCTTTTAACGTTTGAATTTATTCGTTTTTCATTTTATTTCTTCCCTTTCCTTTCGTCTGATCTTTCTCCTAAACTATTTTCTTTATCATTTCTTTCTTTTCTTTTTTCTTGTTTCGATTTCCTTTTCTACATGACGGCCATTTTTTTTTGTTGCCCTTTTTGTCTCGCTCTTATTTTGTTTCTTCTTTTCATTCCGATTCTATTTCTTTCATGAATTCTTTTTTAAAATTTTTCTTTCATTATTTCCAGCCTTCATTTCTTTCGATTTTCTTCCTTTTTAAAATTTAGAATTGTATTTATTTGTTCCTATGATTTTCTTCCTTTTTTTTTTCCAATGTGCCTTTTTTTTTAAATACTTTTTCATTCTTTCTTTCTTATTCAGACTTTCTTGTTTTCTGATTTCTTTCGAAATCACTTCTTTCTTTCCTTTTTTTCATAATTTCTTCTTTCTTTCCTCAGCTTCCAAATATTTCTTCGATGTGTTTATTTTACTTTCTTTCTTTCTTTCTTTCTTTCTTTCTTTCTTTCTTTTGCTTCAGATATTTCTTCAATGAGTTCTTACGTTTCTTTCTTTTTAGACTGCTTCCAAATAATCTTTCAATGTGTCCTTCCTTCCTTCCTTCCTTCCTTCCTTCCTTCCTTCCTTCCTTCCTTCCTTCCTTCCTTCCTTCCTTTTCGTCTGCTTTCTCATACTTCATCAATGTGTGCCTACTTTTCTTTATTTTTCGACTACTTTCAAATAATCTTTCAATGTGTTCCTTCCTGCCTGCCTTCTTTCTTTCTTTCTTTCTTTCTTTCTTTCTTTTATTCTGGATTCTTTCTTTCTTTCTTTTTCGTCTGCTTTCACATACTTCATCAATGTGAGCTTACTTACTTTATTTTTCGACTGCTTTCAAATAATCTCTCTGTGTGTTCCTTCCTTCCTTCCTTCCTTCCTTCTTTTTCGTCTTCTTTCTTTTTCGTCTGTTTTCAAATATTTCTTCAATGTGTTTTTCTTTCTTTCTTTTTTTTTTCCATAGTCATTTGTATTTCTCTTAATTTCTTTCTTTGGCTTTCTGCTGCTTTTCTTTGATTTTGTTTTTGCTTTCTTTCCTGCTTTCATTCACTTTCCCAATTCTTCCCGCCATTTCCGTACCAAATTCTCAGCCATTAATATCAAAACTTGACAGCGAACTCACAGCACGCCGTCTTTTGTTTCTGCTCCGTGTAACTGCGCATGCGTGCGTGCGAGCCGCTCACTTCGTGTTTTTCCCGTCTCTTCGGAGAATTGTTGACAAAATCCATAAACATTTGTTAATAACGCTTTTATTCATTAGACATTTGTGTCGATTAAGAAGCACGCAACTCTTTCGAGACCTGCATGCGAGTAAACAAGCATTTAAACATACTTCGTTTCCTGTAAACGACAGTTATATTGCCACAATAGAGTCTTCCATCATCAATTAGCCCTTAAATATTTTGATCGTGTGCCATATTAGGCAAATTTCAGTGCGGTAAGTATTAATTAATGAAATGAGTTCGATCCTCACGAGCTACTAAGCTCTCGAAATGCCAAATTTTTCAAAGTATGTATCAGTGGGTGTTTTTTTGTTTTTTTTTTTTGGGGGCCATCTTCCCAAATTAGCAATTGTACCAGAAGTAGAGATATTTTTAATTTGTCATTTCTGATAATTCTTGTGATAAATATACACACTTTCAATACAAACTTTACTTTGATATTTTTTCGTCTGTTTTGTAGAAATTTGCTTTGTGAATATGGTTCACTTTGGGAAGCAGAGGTTTTCCAAATATTTTTCTTTTTTTTTTTTAACTAAAAGACTTAATCTCTTACAAAAAAACAAAAAAATCTTGATGCAAAGTAAGACGTAAATGACAACCCCCCAAAAAAAAAAAAAAAAAAAAAAAAAAAAAAAAATGAACAAAAAATCCTTTTTGTATTTATCTATATTTCTGCGATGAGGTATTATGTACATTATTTACATTATTCGGACTATTGTCCTCATCTTTGTCGCTATATTTATTACAACGTTTCGGCCGTTGTACGCTCCGACCTTCTTCAGGTGGTTGGAATGTCGAACTTAACCCTTTATTTCGCTCACTGGGTTAGACTGTTCTAGTTCCAATGATAACAGCAAAAAATTGCAATATAAGCACTGGTAAAAATGGTTGCTAAAGACCTTAGGTTTATAATGCCCAGAAATTCATACACAGATGTCCTCAAGGACACATGGCACAGTGGATAAAGGCATTAGTTAGATTCAATGGCAGGAGTGTGAGTTCAATACCCGGTTAAGACAGTGGAGAACTTTCAGATGGAAATTAATAAGAGATAACTGATAACTGACATTCATTAAACATGTGCCATGTTTAATGGATGTCAGTTATATTGCTTCTTAGTGACATTATCGCCTTTCGTACGGCTTTCTTAAAAATGTACACTTAATCCGAGGCAGATAGAAATGCGGAAGAAAGATGATGAAATTCAAACAATTATCCTTAGAAAACTATGACTTCAAGCTATACTTTCTCTTGAAACAAATCTTTCTTTGATTGGGAAAAGATGTCATAACAGCTTTCACAAATGTGTTGACACTAATTCAATGTAAATGTGGAAATTTTTTTTTTTTTTTAATTAGGAAATTTTTTTAAAAACGTACGAAAGGCGATAATGTCACTAAGACGCAAGAGGTTACTGAGTGGAAGAGAATGAGAAGACTTTAGCGAGGAGAAAGGACACTAAAGGAAAAGATTTCAAGAACGCAGAAGATAGCGACTGACGTTCCATTTAACGTTTTGAAGATTGTACGTGACAGGGAAGCGAAAAAGCGGAAGACCGTTCCACAGATGAGAAGTGCGAGAAAAGAAACTATTAGAATAGAACTTACGGTTTCGTCTAGAACAGTAAAAGAATGAGACGAAGTAGCATTGCGCTTAAATTCATGTGGTCGAGGTACCATGGAGGAAAGCTCATTAAAACGATTGCTTTGAAAATATTTATAGAAAAGACAGAGGGAAGCCACGTCACGGTGATGAGAATGTGACTGAAACCGAGATGCCAGATCAGGACCAATAATATTACAGACCCTTTTTTTGGATTCTCTCCAGAATCTCGAGATACAAAGCCGCATCACTGCACCAGATACGGAAGTAATATTCAGTGCATGGGCGAATGGTAGATTTATAAATATACAAAATGAATTCTAACGAGAAAAATTGTCTGGTACAAGACAGGGAACCAAGCTTTTTTAGCAGCTATATAATCGCCCCACTTGATCTCAATAGAACTTATCAGTCGAAAACATAACACCAAGAAAGTGCCATGAGTTACTCTCCTAGAGGTTAGCAGCAGTCGGAGGGCAACAAGGATTATCTATGATGCTTAAAGGATACCGGTTTTGTTTTGTAGGTGTTAAAATTTACAAGCCATTTCTTGCCTCAGTTAACAATTGATTGGCGGTCATTATCGAGAGCATCCGACAGTTTTTTGTGACAGAGAGAGAGAGTCTGGGAAACACACACACACACACACACACGTATATTTTTTTAGTGAAATTGGAGTAGATTTGAATAGCGAAATTAAATCACAGCATTTTGTTTACTGATGGGGAAATCTTATATAGGGCAGAAGTTGTACCCATTGAATCTGGGTCATCAGGACACAATGAAAATGTTCGAAATAATTTTTATCGATTAAAAATTGAAATAGATCTGAGTAAGCTAGAAGGAACTTTGGAATTCACATGATTTTGGTTGAAGCAGCCAGAACCCCGTGATAATCGTGTGCGAAGTAGTAAGGCCGAGGGTCAGTTATAACCAGCCGGGTTTATCTATATAAACGCGTAGTTATGCTGAAAAGACAGACGGGAGAAAATTCTTGAAGAGAGAAGAGAAAATTGTCCAGGGCGAGCGTTGGAAGGAGGAACGCCACTATAACTTTATAATAAGCCACGCACAGAAATCTTTATCCCTCCATCGCAAGAGTCATATAACGTTCTAAGACAATTTAACAACAAGATAATCACCTACACTCTCTCTGTGTCTAGAATCCAATGTATGAGTTTTTTACGTTAAATACTTTTCTTTTCTGTAACCCGTTTCCCTTCTCTAGTATTCTTTTCTACTATATAAAAGACATTAACAATTCAGCTATTGAATAGTTGTTTGTCCGGTTTTATGCAGATATTTTTTTTTTTTGCTGCATTCTAAATTTCTTAGCGCAGACCCCCAGCCGTGTCTACATCTTCAGTCGACCGTGAATGGACGGACAACACTTCTGCTTTCTGGATCAAACAAATCACAACGTGGACAGGAAGCAGGATTAAACCAGCGGACCGGTCGAATAATCTACGGATGCTCAGGGGACCTATGACCACTCCATTAAGTTCGGTTAGGAACGAATAAACACTTCAACCCAGAGAGTAAGACGCCGGAGGTTGAGGTGCCGAGGCGAAAGTGTTAGATTTTAAATTGCCGGACATATTGGACATAATAGTAAGACAGGATTCAGTTGATGTGTCTTCAACATAAATGCCATTACACTGGTTAACAAGATCTTTGGTGCCAAGAAACAAAACCCGTTTTTAAGCTAATTTGATAGTACTGGTTGCGAAAATGATCTTAGTTTTTCATTGTTAGGTGCAATTTTTGCTGTACTGAAATTGCTCATTTTTGGGAAAAAAAGATCAATTTACGATCTTGGCTGATCGCAAAATTTAGTTTATAAAGGTCGTAGAAATTCATCAATTTTTAGATAGGCCGAGCAATTTATGTCAGCTACCTGAAATAAACTATTTATTAAGAAAAAAGTGTTTCTGAGTCAAAATTTTTAAAATAGAAATACCGATTTTTCTAATTTATCGCCAAAATTCAAATTAACTGATAAACTTTATCAGTAATACAATTTATTATACCTGATAATTAACGTGACATAAAAAAATGAGACCCTAAAATCTTCTGTTTGATATTCATAAATTTATCTCTTCACTATGGAAGGAAACCAAGCACATTGAAGCATTTTGTTTTTATAGTTGGAAAGAAACTCCAACTAAAGTAATCCCAATTGAATACACCTATTCCATTGTAGATGATACTGCTGGATTATCAAAAGGGACTTAAATAACATTGAACATGACATAATCAGAAAGAGAAAAATTTTACCATAGTTCTTGTGTTCAGGAAAATTTTATTTCTGCTGTTAATTTATTAAATGATTTGATGAAAATACTTGTTCTTGGTATAATCAATCGTGTTTTTTTTTAAAGACTTAGGGTCTGATTGATATTGCAAAAACAGTATTTTTCAATAAGCTGACGGAATTTGTTGGTTTAAATACGAATTGAGAGGTTTATAAGATTTTATTTTGAGGAATATTGCCATCGGTCAATATAATATATACAGAAAAGAAATAAAAAAAATTCCCCCAAAAATGATGCATTTTTGTGCAGCAAAAACGGTAGCTAACCAAGAAAAAGTAAGGTCATTTTCAGATACAGCGCCCCTCATATTGTCTAAAAATAATGTTTGTTGTCTCGACATCATATCAATTTTTTTTTGTTGACCAGTGTTAGTAACATTGAAAATATTTAAACTTCGATGTTCACTGCGTGTCGTTATATCGTTCCTGTGAAACAAACTAAACCCACATTCTAATATAGAAAAAGAAGGTTTTAAAAGTAGTCTTTTTGATATGAACAGTTGAGGGTGAGGTGTTGATAGTATGAATCATTTTAATGCTGAGTAGCTGCATGCCCACAACTGCTACAACAATTGACATCTTTCTCCTACCACTTTTAAAATCGGCAGATCGAAAATAACATGCTTTTTTTTAAAATCATCATTTCATCCCAAGCAAGGTAATAAAACCACTAAGACGCAAGGAGTTACTGAGCGTGAAGGAAGATTAGAACAAAATCACGATTAAGGAGAGTGAACAATAAAATAACAAGAATTATGAAGACAGAAGATACCGATTGACATTGCATTTAAATTTTTGAAAATCAAAGTTAACTGGGAACCAAGAAGCTGGAAGAGAGTTCCACAACCGAGAATTGTAAGAAAAGGAACTATTAGCATAGACTTACAGTTATTTCTAGTCATTTCAATAGTAAAATGATGAGACCTAACTGCCAAACTAGTGCTGCATTTAAAGGTTTCATAGAGGAAATTTCATCAGAACACATAACATGAGAGCAATTATAAATACCATATAATGAGGAAAGTGAGTTTGGAGAATTTGATATTCCTATGACATACTGGAGTGACAGAGGGAAAAAAGTAAAAGATTCTACTTTGTATTGACCTGAGTAACCTACAGAGAATTCTGAATCCTTTATTAAATATATGAGGATTGACTGTTCCCATCCCACCACTCATTACCTACGGATATATCTTCTAGTTCTTATTTTTAATGCTGCTCAGTTATTGGTTCCCTGTTTTCACTATGTCCACGTATACACTACCCGGCCCAGGGATTGAACTCACAATCATTATGTTACCAAATTCACAAACCAACTGTAGTTTTTTTGTTTGTTTATTTTAATCATTTAACACCTAAGCAAGGTAATAAAGATGCAAGGGGTTACTGAGTGTGAGAGAATATGAGAAAAAAAAAAACATTATTAAGCAGAGATAACAATAAAAGAACAGAAATTAAGATAAAAGATAATGCATTTAAATTTTTGAGGATTAAAATAGCCTGGGAAGGAAGAAGTTGGAAGAGAGCTCCACAAGCGAGAAGTGCGACAGAAGAAATTATTAGCAGAGAACTTAGGGTTACATCTAGCAGCCATTTTGACTGTAAATTTATGAGACTTTGCTGCCAAACTAGTACTGAATTTAAATTCATAAAGTCTAGGTACCAAAGTAGAAAATTCATCAGAACAATTACCATGAAAGTATCTATAGAAAGGACAAAGGGAAGTGATGTTATGACAGTAGGAAAATGACTGAAGCTGACATGCCAGGTTAGGACCAATAACATTGCAGATTCTACTTTGTATTGACATGAGTAACCTACAGGGAATTCTGAATCCTTTATTAAATATATGAGGATAGACTGTTCCCATTCCACTGCTCACTGCCTAGGGATATATCTTCTAGTTCTTATTTTTAATGCTGCTCAGTTATTGCTTCCCTGTTTCCATTAAGTCCAAGTACACACTGCCCAGCCCAGGGATTGAACTCACAATTACTATGTTACCAGATTCACAAACCAACTGTTTTTCTTGTTCATTTTAATCATTTAACACCTAAGCAAGGTAATAAAGATGCAAGAGGTTATTGAGTGTGAAAGAATATGAGAAAAAAAAACATTATTAAGGAGAGAGAACAATAAAAGAACAGGAATTAAGAAGACAGAAGATAACGATTGACATTGCATTTAAATTTCTGAAGATCAAAATTTATTGGAAGCAAGAAACTGGAAGAGAGTTCCACAAGCGAGAAGTGCGATAGAAGAAACTGTTAGCATAGGATTTACGGTTACATCTTGCCATTTCAACAATAAAATGGTAAGACCTAACTGCCAATCTAGTACTGCGCTTAAATTCACAATGTCGAGATATTGTTGATAAATGATTGTAGTAAGTTGCTTAATTTCGGGTGACTGATCAAACGTTTAAAAGTGTTCATCATTCTCTTGTTTATATTAACTGAAAGGGCATATGACTATATATATATATATATATATATATGTGTGTGTAGAATTAATGAATTTATTTTTTCTTCGTAAGAAATTTCTACAAGCGATAATTTTTTTTTATCGTTGATGCTTCTGGGATGAATTGTTGAAAAGTGCCTAACTGCCTAACTTGAAACCAACATCTTTTAGTCTGCTCTTGAAAGAAAAAACATTTTAATACCTAATGTTCACCCAATACAAGGCTTAAGTGCCACTCAAGGTAGACGCTTATTGAATGATGTTGTAAGAGCATATAGAGAGGGAGCAAGGACTGCATATTACAAGGATATGTAGGATGGATAATGGTTAATCCTAGATTTGAAGAGATTAGGATTGTAGTGATCAAGGAAGCATCTGCCCTTGGGATTCTGTAACACTAGACCTGTAAAATGTCCCCATCAAGAAATTTGAGGTCCTTCAAAGCAAGACAAAGATATAAAGATGAACAACATTAAAATAAGAAAGAATTCAGAATAAAAGAAAAACGAACGGAAAAAAGGAGAAGGTTGAAAGAAAGAAAGAAAGAAAGAAAGAAAGAAAGAAAGAAACGAACAAAGAACCCAGAATAAAAGTAAATCGAAAGAAAGACAGACATAAAGCAAGAAAGAATCCAGAATAAAGAAAAAGGAATGAAAGAAAGGAAATGGTTGAATGAAAGAAAGAACGAAAGAAAGAAAGAAAGAAAGAATGAAAGAAAGAAAGGAATGAAGGAAGGAAGGAAGAAAGAAAGAAAGAATTCAGAATAAAAGAAAAACGAAAGAAAGGCGAGCAGTGAAAGAAAGAAAGAAAGAAAGAAAGAAAGAAAGAAAGAAAGAAAGAAAGAAAGAAAATCAAAATAAAGAAAGGCCAGGACTGAAAGAAAGAAAGAAAGAAAGGAAGAAAGAAAGAAAGAATCCAGAATAAAAGAAAAACGAAAGAAAGGCGAGCAGTGAAAGAAAGAATGAAAGCAAGAAAGAAAGGAAGGAAGGAAGGAAGGAAGGAAGGAAGGAAGGAAGGAAAGAAGGAAGGAAGGAAGCTAAGGAAGGAAGGAAGGAAGGAAGGAAGGAAGGAAGGAAGAAAAATTCAGAATAAAAGAAAAAACGAAAGAAAGGCGAGCAGTGAAAAAGAAAGAAAGAAAGAAAGAAAAAAAGAAAAGAAAAGGAAGGAAGGAAGGAAGGAAGGAAGAAAGAAAAAAATTCAGAATAAAAAAAAAAAACGAAAGAAAAGCAGTGAAAGAAAAAAAAAAGAAAAAAAAAAAAAAAAAAGAAAGAAAGAAAGAAAATCAAAATAAAGAAAGGCCAGGACTTAAAGAAAGAAAGAAAGAAAGAAAGGAAGAAAGAAAGAAAGAATCCAGAATAAAAGAAAAACGAAAGAAAGGCGAGCAGTGAAAGAAAGAAAGAAAGAAAGAAAGAAAGAAAGAAAGAAAGAAAGAAAGAAAGATAAAAAAAAGGAAAGAGACATACGAAAGAATGATAAAAAAAAAAAGGAAAGGGACATATGAAAGAAAGAAAGAAAAGGGGTGGGAGGAATCGAAAATGGTCGCTAAATTGAGAAGAAATGAAAAAGAAGAAAAATATCAATATATTCTTCTTCCTCCTCCTCTTTCTTTTACTTCAACTTTCTACTACTACTACTACTACTACTACTTTCTACTGAAAACTGACAAAGTTTGATGACAAAGACAGTGAAGAAAAAGACAAAAAAGTTTACCAAACAAAAGAACGTTGAAAAGAAAGAAAAAGAACAGAAGAAGGAATGAGAACGGAAATAAAGGCAAAGAAGCGGTAGAAAAATGAAAAAAGATAAAAGCAGAATGGCAATAAATAGATGAAAAAAGAAATGAAATGACTGAATGACAGAACGCGGAGACAGATCGATCGGGAACTCATCGAAAAGGCATAAAATCCTCATAATTGATAGTGAAACAATCTACTGAAGTTAGCCAAAAAAAGCAAACCACATCGTTTGCAAAAGGGAGACAAGAATAAAAGAGAGAAAAAACAAATGACGAAAAGCTAAAAACGGTTTCTCAACATCAAAATCGCCATTGTAGGAATTCTCCAAAGACATTGGCGATTTCTCGCCGTATACATAGACGTTATAAAAGAACGGTAGCAATCGTGGACGAAAGCAATATGGCTGCCATCTCTCGAGATCAACGATTTTAACAATGAATCATCTTTTTCTGCCTTTTCTTACAATGCGCATGCGTAAGGGGAATTTGACGAGTACGCATTATGCTGTCAATTATAAGTTTCGTCTTTTTTTTTCTTTCTCGTACGCATTTCTTCTTTAATGCGTGTGAGCAAATTTAAATCTTTGTATTTCTGTATATGTCTGCTCATATGTCTAAGTTTCTGTATGTATGAGTTTCGAAATCAGAAATCATTGCGTGAGTATATTAGACGGTTACACACGTAACATCATAAGAGCATAAATACGCATTGGGCATATAATTTCTGTTATTTATATGTATTTATATTGATTTATACATAAAGTGGGGGGGTGATGAAAAATTCCAAGCACGACCAAGAAGGTACCGTAGAACTGCCAGATTTTGGGAAGTGAGTCATTTTGAGAACTTTTTAGCACCCTCACGTACATACACACACGTTTAATATTTAACTTGTAAGAGGTTGTGTATGTGAAAGTGACTGCGCGGGAGGTGTTTAAACACGTGTTTGTGTGCATATATCGAAAGTTAATGTCGTGCCTTATTATTTAGCTTACCACTATGAGATTCTATCTATCTATCTATCTATCTATCTATCTATCTATCTATCTATCTATCTATCTCATTCGGTGGGTCCATTTTCTATCTATCTATCTATCTATCTATCTATCTATCTATCTATCTATCTATCTATCTATGTCATTCTGTTCATATCTATCTATCTATCTATCTATCTATCTATCTATCTATCTATCTGTTTGCTTTTTATGTAATATTGGTTCGCTCATTTTGAAATATCGTATCCAAAATTTTCAGGCAGCGGTTCTATAAAGGCAGGCCATCTTTAAGAACCTATTCTGCTTATTTTCTTTTCAATCTGAGAATGGAAACAAATCACTTTCGAGTATCAAAAAGAATGAAACCATTTTTTATAATTTAATAGAAAATATTTATTTATTAAGATATTTCCACATTGAAATTCTGTTCTCATCATATTTCTATTCAGAAATATGATGCTTTTTGACTCTAGTGTCACCTAGTGTGTTATGATTTCTTAGCCACATTCGAACTAAATCTCTTCAGTCCCAAAAGATCCAAATCGAAGACCTTATCAAATTTATGAGCAGAAGATTTGTTATATTTTTAGTTCCAAGAAGATTTCTTTTTGTCAGAATAAATTATTTTCATCAGAGAAAACCGTCTTTCAGCTTCTACAAAACTTACTGCAAAGGTATTAATTATATTTTTAGTTATTATATATCGGCTATTAATATATAAGATTATTTTCGGATAATTAAGTAACCGGTTCGCTAATCTTTTATAATTTTAAGAATCGGATTGCGCGAACCGGTAGGATGCCACCACTGAAGGTATGTATGTGACTCTTGATGACACCTGAGACCAACATTCGATGTCATAGGTAGTCTTCTCTTGACTTCAGGTGTCATTGTAGGGGCCAAGGACGTCGAAACGAGATGGAAGCCATTATAAGCCATGCGAAGGATGAGCAGGCGCTTCTCAGCTGATTAAGATGTGGCAACCGCCATATATTTATATATAAACATCCTAAAAAGCAAAGTACGCAATGCTTACCTTATTATTATTGTTTTATTTCCTTTGATTTCTGGTGTATACTCATTTCTTTCCGGGTCCCGCTCAGAGACCTAAGGCCAGAAATGTTATCGTGACATTTTCCACTGACCAATTAAAAAAAAAAAAAAAAAAAAACACAAACATATTTTACATAGAGAAAGCCCTTCGTGAGATGTGGTCTGTACTCGTGAGATTAATTTTTTGTATTTCTTTAAGGCATAGGCTTCAAGGAATCCCTTCAATTAGTCTAGTGTCATCAGCTATGTTCTACAAATGGAGGACTTATCAAATTTATGACTAGAAGATTTGCCACGTTTTTAGCTTCAAGACGATTTCTTCTGTTAGAATAAATCACAGAAAACTCTCTTTCAACCTCTACAGAAATTACAGTAGAGGTATTAATTATATTTTTAGCTATTATATATCGGCTATTAATCTATAAGATTATTTTCGGATAATCAAGTAATCGGTTCGCTAATTTTTTATAATTTTAAGAATCAGTTCATGCGAACTTGTAGGATGCCACAACTGTATATATATATATATATATATATATATATATATATATATATATATATATATATATATATATATATTATTTACATTATTCGGGCTGTTACCCTCATCTTCATTGCCATATTCACAACGTTTCGGCCGTTGAATTCTCAGTCTTCTTCAGATTATTGGAATTTTGAACCGAACCCTTTAAGTAATCGTAATACCTCATCTCACATATATATATATATATATATATATATATATATAAACAAAATGGACATCATTATTTAACCTTAGAGCCCTTTCGGCCAACACTTTCTCAAAAGGTAATCGTTGGCGAAACTAGAACAAATAACGAAAGAGGTTGCAAATTTGGAACACGATTAAAATAATTGTAAATAAATGAACGATTAAAAATTATATACGACGTACGATGGTAGAGCATCCAGACAATCAGCACATATGATTTGATTATAGTTTTGGTTTAGTTTATTTTGTTTAACGGCATATCAACCTCAATGGGTTATTTAATGCCGACAAAATTTTTTATTGCTGGTAATATTTTGTTTTGTCTAAAATCTGTTTTCTTCAAAATTGTATTGCTGGTAATAATTTTTTTTCAAAAAAGTATTGCTGCTAATAATTAACTATTTGCCCATAGCTGGGACCCTAACAGGTGCTACCACACCGAATCAGGGTGGACCTGAGAACACCAGCAATTAAGAGGTGGTTCCGCGCTCCTCAAAAACTACTGATCAGAAGCCTTGTTGCTGGACGTAGTTTAACGTCTTACCCAGGACGCGGATGTAGTTTATCGTCTTACCTAGGACGCGGATGTAGTTTAACGTCTTACCCAGGACGAGATTTGATTGTAATATTGAAGGCTTGTGTCGAGTCAACCACACTTTCTCAATGACAGGAAGCCCGAGAGAGAAAAGTCTCTTAGTAAAACAAAGAGATCGAACTGTCAATCTAGTACTGCACTTAAATTCATGAAATCTCATCAGAACAAACTGCCGTGAAAATATTTACAGAAAAGGTACATGATAAGTCGTCATTGCAGATTAAATTGAAAACAATGATTGCAGAATCTGTCTATATTTCTGAGATGAGGTATTATGTACAATATTTACATTATTTGGACTATTGTCCTCATCTTTGTCGCCATATTTATTACAACGTTTCGGCCACAAAAATCTCCTGAGCCGACCAAGCATAGAAATTAATACAATATGGGAACCAGTAATAAGGAGTGCCAGAGAAAAACAATAATAACAACAAAAAATTGCAATATGAGCTCTGGTAAAAATAAAAATGATAACAGCAAGAAATTGCAATATGAGCACTAGTAAAAATGGTTGCTGAAGACATTAGGTTTATAATACCCAGAAATTCATACACAGATGTCCTCATGGACTTATGGCACAGTGGATAAAGGCGTTAGTTAGATTGTATTAATTCATTATTTGATTTAAAACGGATACCTTTTGATTTTCATCAATGCATCGCCGCTACCTCAAATATTCATAAGGTTGATAAGCTGTAAAAAATCAGTTAATCATTCATAAGAACATTCTTTTATATTTTGCAAGATCTGAAGTTGTTAAATCGTTCTTTTTTATCTTTGTTGATTCAACCTTAAGCGTTTGCAAGCTTCAAAGTCTTAAAGTGGCTATTAATTCACTTCTTCAAAATTCATTTAACATCATACAAATGGCTGACGTTTGCATCTGCGCAGGACGAACCGGCTTTCATCATCACTGCGCAGATATCAACATTTAGATTCAAATAAGTACGTTTTTATGTTCACCCTGTACAAGGCCCTCTTTAAAGAGGCACCACTCCAAGCAAGGTAATAATGCCACCAAGATGTAAGTGACTGAAATAGAAGCTTAGGGAAAAGACTTTAAAAGGAACCGGAAGTCCAATCCTAAACAGGAAACAAGGGATAGAGCTTTACTCCTGTTCAAAAGATTCGTTTTAGATATCGATATCTAAAACGAATCTTTTGAACATATGATAGTTAATCATGTGAGATGTAAGAGAATGAGTTAGAAAGAGAGAGCAAGCGAGTGACATAGAGAGAGAGGGGGGGGGAGTTGACAGAGAGAGAGAGAGAGTAGACAGAGAGAGAGTAGACAGAGAGAGAGAGAGAGGGGAGACATAGAGAAAGAGAGAGAGAGGAGATTAAAATGGCATTTTGATTTAATTCAAACTCTCTTCATGTGGAATATCCTGTGTATGGTAACGGTGATGAACTTTCCTCTATGGCCGTGCTTCCCAAAGTGGGGTGCACACCAAGACGGGTGGGGCAATTTGATGGTGGGGGTGGCAATTGGAGAATGAGTTATTAACAGTGATTTTTTTGTGTGTCTGTGGGAGTATAAGTGTGTGTGCGTGTCAATACATATGCATATACAGTATGCTTATATAAAAATATTCGTATGTATGTATGTACATGTGTAACTACGTATGTAATATATATATATGTGTGTGTGTGGGTTGTGTGTATGTATGTCGTCTTTAATGAAATACACACACACACATATATATATATATTACATATGTAATTACACATGTACATACACACGAATATTTTTATGTAAGCATACTGTATATGCACACACACTCATATTCTCACAGACCCACTAAAAAATCAATTAATTTGAAAAAAAATCATCCTTGATAATGGCTAAAAGTATAGCCAAAAGCGCTTGGAATTATAGAATATTTGGACAATTTCTACACACTGTGTCCAGAAAAGAAAACACTTGTTCGAACACAAGAAAAATTATATAAAAATGCTTAATCCTAGTAGTTTCTGTCGTCGTTCATGAAACATGTATAAATGAAGGATTGCTGCCTAAATGCATACACACACACACACACATATATATATATATATATATTAAAGACATATTTTTATGTTTAACGTTGTTATTTTTATAGATACAAGTATTTAAGCAAATGCTCTGTTTATGATAAACAGTATTAAATAACATTTACCGGCCTGAATGTCCGAGAAATTTTCATAGAAAATTTTCGTTCTTTGACAGGATCTCGGACATTCAGGCCAAATATTTATCTACACATTTATATAAATTGTCGGACCTTGTCCATTTCTTAATATATATATATATATATATATATATATATATATATATCAAAGTGTAGGAGAACGAACTGTAGGATTTTAGCGTTCAAAGTAGAGTAACACTATAATTCCCCACCTGATAGTTAACTATTTGCCCATAGTTGTGACCCTAACAAGTGCTACTATCCCGGGTCAGGGTGGACCTGGCAACACAAGCAATTAAGAGGTGGTTCCACGCTCCTCAAAGCCTCTTGATCAGAGTCCTTTCTGTTGGACGTAGTTTATCGTCTTACCCTGGATGCGGATGTAGTTTATCGTCATACCAGGACGTATATATATATATATATATATATATATATATATATATATATATATATGAGCAACACCATATTTTTACAAATATTGTAAAATTCTAAAATTAAATGATAATACATATCATTTTGTTTTACCTTGACATGGGAACGCTTTCTAATTTGCTGTCTCAAGTTCTTCAGTAAAATTAAGTTAATGGGCTTTTAGGCTTCCTCTATATGAGTAGGCGTTCACTTTTTGAATAATAAGAATTATACGTCCCAGGGGTAGGGCATCAGAAT